AGATGCAAGTGGTGGAGGAAAAGCAGGAGGCTTATGAAGAAAGGAAGGAAGGAAGGAAGGAAGGAAGGAAGAAAATGTTGACCACTTTTTCATCTTACCTCAACTGGCTGCGCGTTGCTAGAGTTATTGTCGACCATTGTGTAGTTTGTGCTCTGAGTCCCGGTTTCTTGAACGAGGAAGCTGGCACCTTGACAGTGTCTATTTGCACAATCGACTCTCGGACCTGATGCAAGATGGTTATTCCGAAGTAAATTTCTGATCTCTTTTTGCAACCCTTGAAATGTTGTGCAAAATGTGCTTGTGAACATGGCTTCAAAAATGAGTTAATATCAACTTTGCTTTAATTCAAACACGCTTCAAGACGGCACACAAACTGTCAATTTGCCCATTTCCTGCATTATCTTATTAAGCTATAACATCCTTACATTCCAGCCTATCCTCCATACCAAAGAAATGCAACCTTTGCTTGATCATTTCGCCAGTTCTAAACTGCTCGCACAAAATATTCGTGTTTCTTTCACTCTCTGCTGCGTATACTTGGAACAAAAACACAAAACGGGGCCATCCTCTTTTCGGAGGTTTGGCGCAAATCCAGCCAGTGCAGTTACTACTATCAGATCAGCATTCTTCTTGGACGGGAATTCTTGACAAAAAGTTCATTTGAAGACGATTTCGAGACTACTTGCAGATCCTGACTAAGACCGTAATGCATTAGAGCGGATTGGAATGACGCAGCTTCATTAGCCCATCTTCACCAGGTCGCAATTTCCACAAGAGAAAATCGAGGCGCCTTACATGACAAAGCTCTGAAGCCACTGCCATGGCTACAAGGGATGACTTTTGCCCGTGGGGCAACGAGGGAGTAGGCATGATTGTTCACGATTTGGCATCCTACGAGACTGTGCGAAAAGGTTGGGCTTCAAGGATAATCTAGCTTCATAAATGTTGTTTAGTAAATATATTAAAATGTGGGTCCCATGAAAGCCGACAACGGACTGCATTTGACCAGTTGTCGATTGGCTTTGCTGCAACATTAATGGTGACGCTATTTCCAAGAAAAGCTTTTAAATTTCGGGGAAAAGATGCTAAAGTTTCGTCCTTCATATGACGGGCATCATCAGAGCGAGGTAATCTCGTCACAACCGAATTCAAGATAACAAGTTTTCTTGACACATTAGCTTGTATTTGGTTGTGATGATGATACCCTCCTTGCTCTGATGATGTTCGTCACATGACGGACGAAAGTTGACCACCTTTTCACCGGAATCGAAAGAGATTGCCTCGGAAACAGTGACAGCATGAATCTTTCAGTAAAGCTGGTCAAGAGGAATCCGCCGTCGTCTTCTGGTAAAATTGACCGATCTTGGAATCTCTTCAACAAACATTTTCACTTGACATGGAAGTAAGCAAAACAAATATTAAACAAGAGATTTCTCGAAGCCCAACATTTCTTCGTAAAAGCTTAGCCCAAATAAGAAATGTGTTCACCCTAATTCGGTTAAAGTGATACAGAAACTGGTAGTGGAAATTTCACACAAACATATGAGCAGAGCTGACGCTTGCCTTGAATTTCGCAGAGCCTTGCTCTTTCAAAAGGTGTTCTCATCCCAGCCGGAGTGGACTGCAATTTCAACCTCGCCTCAACTGGTCTTTTCAACACCCCCAGCGGGACTCGAACCATGACAGTTCTGCGTGTAATCTCGACAGGTTAGTCACTCCGCCAAATTGCCACGAGTTTCCTTGGGTCACAGGGCAGATGAGAATTTCAAGGGAGCACAGTCAATTTCTCATATCACATTCCTTGGCGGGATTTTGTAGAGGCAACATTAGATCATGTCGAATACACTACTTATTTGGGATTTATAAGTAGGCTTTCGTGACTATCCCACTTATAAATGGAGATAAATACGA